TTCAGATGCAAAAATCAGCAGTGTTCATGCATGTTTGCAAAACAGAGAGGGCCAGAATGAAACGTATTTTCTATTTACAAGAAGGAACGGCAATGCAACTTGGGTAGCTACTTTTCAGAGCTATCAGCCTGTTTTAGTAGCTAAGAAAATCCACATAAAGCCCATTTGCAAAAAGCCTTCTGCAAAGCTTTATATTATGGAATGACTCAATTTTTAAGGAACTGGGGGCAAACAACCCACAAACACCTTAGTGCCAAAATATGTTTTTGTTAGCAAATGCATTTGTTGGGTTTATTTCAGACATATTCTTAAAACCTCAAAAATGTAGCATGCTCATTTTGCATCTGACTCATTGTGCATCAATTTTCAGCTTCTTCCTTTTTTTTTTTTTTTTTTTTTTTTAATGCAGTTCAGTTATGCCTATCACCCCACCCACAAATTAGGGGTTTATAATGGAAATTCTGACAGGGCCTCCACTATGGTGGTGCTTGCAGGCACTGTCATGATAAATAATTTACTATTTAATGACTTCTGATGTAATCACAGCAGGAGTCAGATTCACTAACATCCATATCTCCATTGTTATCCAGGAGGAATAAGATGGTAGGGAAACACCACTCTTCTCTGAGCCCATCTTTTTAGCTCCCAACTTTAAAACGAGTGTTTAAATTGGTAAAGAGAGTTTACCACCACAGTCCAACCTCTACATTTGTTTATGTTGGACGACACTTTTGTTCTGCCTTGCATTACTCAGATGGATAAAGCTCAGAAGGGTTCTGCTTTACTGCCCTGTTTTCTCTTAGTGTTTCTGCATTTTTTAAATGCTACCAAATGGTTGCTTTTGGCTCCCAGCATTATCACATGTTGTCTATAAGTATGGAAATAGTTATGGTAATATGGACGTAAATCATAACTGTAAATACCACATAAAGAAGACTGCCATATAATTATAAAAATACCTAATAGATTTCTTTTTCAAAGACAACACAGCTGTCCCTTCTAACCTTTCATTTGTAGATTCTTTTCTCTCCTGTTTTTATTTATAGGTTGCCGTGCAGTTTGACATAGCACACCATGATTTTTGTTTCTAATTTTGAAAAGAAAAGAAATAGAAAGAATACTCATTTCATCATAAAGAAGCATTAGTTTACAATTTTGAAAAGAAACTAACGCCAGCTCTAGAGCATCATCTTGGAACCAACCTCCCTCTTAATACATTTCAAAAGAATCTGTCAATGGTTACATACCGCAATTTAAAATTAAACCCTGCCATCGAACTAAAGAAAGGGTCGGCCAAATGGCACATATCACATGTTGGGAAAGAAGCCCCATTCTTTCTCTAAACATCTCAGTGTTTTTTATGAAAAGAACCACACTAGGTTATTATGCTGACCACAACAAAATAAGATTTGTATACCCTACTCAGGGAAAAAACAGGTTGAAAAGTGTTATGGGTAAACTTACACTATGCAACATGCCATGTTAATGACAGAAGTAAAGCCTTACACAGCACTAAAGTTGCCAAAAAGGGTTTTACATATTGTCTGGAAGCTGCCACCATGCATTTTATCCCTTTCTAGTCAGCTTTGCAATGCTTAAAAGTGAAGTTATACAAGTGTATTTCAACTCTGCTTTATGCTGGATTCACATGGTGCTTCATCGTACACAAACTTGTTCTTACCTCTTCCTTGTTACCTTAAACTTACATACAGAGCCTGGGTGGTCACAAAAGAGAGGCTGCAGACAACGCTGCTCATGCCACATGAATGGAAGGCTGTTATCTTTGAATCTTTGAAACATTTTTGCCTCTAAGGTTTTATCTATCACTAAGCAACTACTTCAGAGATCTGTGCCTATGCCCTTCTACACAGCAAATCCCACATTTTAACTCAAATAGTAGCAAACCTCTCAAAGGAATGAAGTTCATCTTAACCATCAGAAATGTATGTTTCTCTCTCCCTCCCTCTCTCTAAATTTATAAAAAGGGTAATTATGGCTTTATGCAGAACAACACACAGCTCTGAATGGGTGAATTACATTCCGATTCCCTTTCGGAGAAACAACTAAAACAAATGAACTGGAAAATGCTGGTGGGAAAGATCAGTCTAGGCTAGAGGTGTACTAATAGCTTATTGATACAGATTTTTAAGCAGATGAAACGTTCAAATCTGTCCTGCACTTTTATCAGTCTACACCAACTGGTCTTTGTCCAAAAATGTGTCATTTTATCAGATGTGTCACTCAGTTGGGAGGCTGCCATGACTATACTGGGTGACTGAATGTCAAAATAATTTCTCCAGGGGGAAGAGTTCCCAAAGGTTTTCTAGTTCCAATGGGGTGATCATTTTTCACCACCAGCTGGAGCCTGATGTCAGACATGCCCTTGCTTCATTTATTCTCCTCAGAGGTTGAAACCCAGCTTGTCCTTCCTGACTCCAATATTGTTTCACATTTGGGCACACAGCAGCTACTACACAGTGAACTATTAAAGCAGGAGAGCCCATGAGACATGGGAAAATAGTTTAGGGGAAGCTGTTTGACAGCAGGATGCGGTTGTTTCTATTGTCCTATTAAAATAGAGATATCTGGGAAGCTTAACTTTGTTTTCACTATGTAAACATATGTATTTTACACTAATGTGCCAAAAAGATGCAAATAAATAAATAAAAAAAAAACAAACCAACAAACCCACACCACCAAAACCCCAAACAAACAAACACAACAAATGTTTGCCCCTTTTTGTACACTGTGTCTACTTTCTTAGGAGGAATATGAGAATGAAGCCCTGTACACCTAAAAGAACGTTAACTTGTACTGAAAGAACAAATGCCCTGGGTTCCATTAGACTCTTGGCATTTTATTTTACATTTGTAGTTTGGTCTGAGAACAAAAAGGAAGCTGCAATGACTGAACGTCTTTTATAGAGTCATCTTATGAAAATATCTCAACATATTTTTATTCCCTTCTATTTGTTTTCTCCAGAACAATAAGTAGAGAGATAGAAATCACCAGTTCCCATACAATACGTGGTCAGTTAAAGCACTACGGTTTAATTCTTCAAACAAAATAGCAGCTAGTTCTTGCCCACACTAATGGTTTGAGCTTGTGCCAACTATATTTAGATCATGCTGAAATGAAGTTAAGATGGCTATACCATTGGGATTTTTTTAACTTGCATGACTGTTGTTCTGAGAACATTGTTGTGAATCCCCGCTACAGACTGGTTACCACATGCTTACAATAGACATTTAACATGAGAAGGCGAAACCATATGGCTTCATCACCTCTAAGCATTTACACTGAGGCAGTATTATTGATGAAAATGATCACCTTTTTGAATCAGCTAGTGTTCAGTTTTCTAGCAGGTTTAAGCTGTAAAGGCAGAGCATAAGCAGATATCTGCAACAGAAATCATTCTCTGCAGCATTTACTGCATACACTGGCATCTCCTGTAATGTTCCTCTCCTTACACCAAGACACCTCTGCAGTACTCTAATTAAGGCTTTGAAAGAAAAAGTTATCAAATCCACAGCATATTGTGCTAAAGCTGGACCAATGCCAGACACATTAATAACTTTCCAACCTCTTTTCTTCATAAATATGGAGCAGTCAGGAGACCACGAACAACTGCTTCCAGAAGTATTTAAAATACTAGAAATATATGTATTATATATATTTCTTTTATAAAATTACATATATATTTCTCTATAGATAATATTGCTAAATTTGCAAATCTGTATCGTGTGTTTCTCTATATATGCATATTCAAGAAATCTGAAAGAACTAGTGGTGTGAATTTACAGAATATATAGAGGCTAGAGAGCAATATATCTCTTTTAAAGTGACTTAAGGTGATCTGAATGAAAGCCGTTTTCACTTTGAATGAGTGTGTCCACACAAGGACATTGCACTTTAAAAGTTAACTCAGATAATTTATCTTTATCTGTGAAGCTGATTCTCTGACACTGTCCAAGAAAGCTAAAAGTCAAAGAAAATCTGTCCTTTGACATCACAGCATCACAAGTTTCCGATGTAGTCCTAGCAATGATCATTAGATATTAGGCAAGAGAGAGAGGAATAACATTTGTTTAATTTCAATTGCTGCTTTTTGGCAAGATGTAGTTCTTCTTAAGAATAATGAAAAGCTTCCTTCCTCTTTCCTTCTCACCTCACTTCCCCAGAAAAAAGTGAAAAGAAAATTTGCATGACAAATTTGAGTAAGACAAGGATACAAATAAGCAATGGATATATTAAATTCAAATAGACTTTTGTCTCAGCTGTCACATCATGCCACATACCAAAGCTACCACACTGCTAAAAGCACACTGTTCTAGGGACATCAGTTTTTAGGGGTAGATAAGAGAGCTGACTAAAAAAAATAGATTCCTAGTTTTAAGCAAACTTGTATTTTGTTATCGCTTGAGTGGGAAAACCTCTTGAGGATGTTTGGAATAGGTCTAAAACAATAGAGACTCACTGAGCTTTGGCCTTTAGGCATACTTCTAAGTAACTCTAATTAATAACAAAGATTAACATATTCTTGGAGAGAAGACAGTGGGGGAGGGGCAGGATTGATGCAAAGATAACTGCACAGGCGAAAAAATGCAGTAAACATTAAAGAGCCTCAAGATTATTAACAAGATATCAAGTGTTGCTATTTACAAAGACTCCTGATACTAACCTTTCTGTTTAACTCACCAATTCTTGTATGACATACACCTTGTCAGTTCACAGTACTTATCTACAAGATATGTGATCTGGCTTCAACATGAAAGTAGTCCCTTTTAAAATCAAGAATAAAATTTGTATGGCAGGTAAATGGTTAATACTGAACAACATGCACATGATACTTCAACAACTCCCTTACAAAAATTAGGATATTATTCTTTATTATGGTGCCCTGTAATTCTAAAGTAAATCATGCCAAGATACTATCTTGCACGTCTGTATATCAGATATCATTACTCAGAAAAAAAAAAGAAAAGCTTTCATGCACTTACCTTCTCCTCTAGCCGGATCAGTCTGGCTCCTACAGTATAGTATCCTTTGTCTACACCTTTTTCTAAATAAAGAAGAATAAAAATGTGACATTCATTAGGTGGAGAACAAATTCAAACTAAGGATGATATCAATGGTATTTAAAGCAAAAAAGAAGCTGGTAATAGTAGGGTAGTATAAATAACATGAACATAACAGGGAAGAATTTCTTCATGGTGTACAGAAGTGAAAAAGGGTAGTTGGAGAGAAGGGAATTAGTTTGTCTAACTGACAAGATTAAATTAGTCAAAAGGGCAACTTGGACCTTGGTAGAGGTAGTCTGTGGACACGAAGGACTACAGACAGTGTCTGAGGTACTTGAGTCCTTGTTTAATTATCTCTATTAATTGCATGTAGTTAGATGGAATAGGCATGCTCCCTTGGCATACCCCCCATTTTGACTATCATTGACATGAGCAATTTGTACATTTCTTTGTATACATAAAGAAATCAGAATAGTTTTCAGCTGAGGTTGTAGATGTAGGAGGCAGCACTATCCAGGAGTTCAAGGGCTGGAGTGGCAGAGATCTATCTTCTCTCTGCAAACGACTGACACTGGGAAAAGCCCTTGCATCTCCATCCTCATTTTCCCTCCTAGCCTTCATGAGACCTGGTTATTAAAGCCTAGTTATGCAATTTGTTTCACACACACACTGCAAATGGTGGGATTGGGAGCCAAGATTGAAAATGGTGTAAAGTGGGGTCTATTCTTTGTGTTTACATGGCCAATCGCAAAGGAATGCCATAGTTTAGGGGTGTTATTTCACAGGGAATGAAGCACAAAACCACATATATTCTGAGCTGGGAGAAAATATTCACAAGAAAAAAACCCAATCCCCAATAATAAAGTAACTTAGAAGCCTATTTCAATGGAAGTTGGACACATTTTTCTCTACTGAACTATATTTCCAGTACTGGGCTGGAGTAATTACTCCTGTTTGTTCCATAAATTATTCCACTTTTATGAGTGGTTGAGCTTTGGTTTTAAAGCTATTTAAGTCCATTTTGTGTAGGGCATGAGCACAATGTGAAGGGCTTATTGGAGGCAGACTGAGATGTGAATTTACAGTGCATCAGTGTCCACCATAACTGCCTGCATGTGTGCTCATTCTGCAGGGAACTCTCATTCTTGCATTTCTCAGTGAATGGTACTTGCTTTACCATTACCATTAGCAGTGTATACGTTTGCTAATGTGATATGTTTACTGATATATTTGCACCAAAGTTCATCTCAAGGTAACTTGTACTGTATGCACCACAACCTTCAGTGAAAAGCAATGCTGGCAAGAGTACTCTTCTTGCTTTCCTTCTGCTCTACAAACCACCTAGAATATTAAAAAGGTCATGGACCCTTGGCAGCTCTGCGCAGGCATTAGAAAGGAGAAGTGTTTCATCAGAGAACCTACAGGGGTAAATACCATAAGGACAGAAAATTCAAAGATTGTTCAAGGACACTGTGTGGGGACAGAAAATAAACTATACAGCTTGGCTCATACATGTGTGCTGTTCATCATTCCTTAGTTCACAGCCACAGAAACCTCTTAAAATATAAGTGGCTGAGGCTCAAGTTTATGTATTCATCTCTGCCTAAAATGAAATAATTGACTCTGCAGTCTACTTTCTAGTTAGTAAATCTGTAGACACTTACCATCTTTCAAAGTATACACCAGAAAAAACATACCTTTAAGGATTTCTAAATTGGGATGTGATTTGAACAACAGTGGGTAGGTAGTGTTTTTGTTTAGGTCTAAAACCAAAAAGCCCCCCAAACCTGGAGAAATATTCCAATAAGCTTATTTTTTTTAAAAGAATAATTTCCTCACCAGCTCTAATTACATCCTTCATATAATCACCAAGACATCCCAGAACAACTAAACCAAGTTAATCATGTTTCCTATTTTAGTTTTTCTCAAATGTGGTGTGGAACAGAAAACAAGAAAATAGGAAGCAGATAAGCAGTAAGAAGCTGTTTTGTGGCATGTGGCACTCCTATCAGATGAAGTGAAAAGAATGATATACATGCATGTAGCTGTGTCATGGCATGTAGGCTGTATAAGTCACAAAAGGGCGTGGTCTTTCCCATTTCTTTTTAGCTTCCATTCATATCAGCATTCAGCTCTAATTTACAAGCATTTTCCTCTAATAAAGGCCATCTTTGAAAGTGAATGGGGTGTGTATACAATGTGCAGAGCATTGTGGTAAGAAGGGTGGACAGAAGTTTAGATAACATTGCTGTAGTACATTTGATTTCTATCTCATGTTTATGCTTTCTCCCTCAAGTCTTTTCAAGATATATGATTTTAGATTTCCTACATTAGATTATTTGCTTTTACATAGTTGAAAAGATTGCATGGCTAACTATAAATCTGAATGTCTTAATTTTTACATTCTTTGCTTTGTAATCCAAAATAACTTTCTTTTAGTATTGAGTTTTGTCTGTTCTTAGTGTTAGTCTGCAATAAAACAGATAGACCAGCTAAGCAATCCAGTAATTGTGTACATATGTGTGAAAGGCACAGACACAAAGGAAACATGCATGATCATGATGAAAGGAAGCACAATTATTTATAACTGGATGAAAATACATATGGACAAATTTTAGCTAAGAAGAAAAAAAATACCTTGAAACAAGCTTGTATCGCATGGTTGGTTTGATACAAAACGATCATTTTATATACTTAAGACTTGAATCGGATAAAACACTAGTATATAAGCAATAGGCATTATACTTCAGGAGACTGAATAGTTTTTGGGTCATCTAGTCCATTTCTCATCTCTATTAATATATAAATTTCTTCCCTGAAAGTCTTTGCCTTCCTGAGTACACATACTATACTACTTTCAAAACAATGTGATCCGGTATTTATTTCCTAGTATTTTCACAAAGATGGCCCATGTCTTTTTCTAGTGTACAACAAGTGATGCCTCTTATAAAAAAAATTACAAATTTTTAGGTGTTCCCCACACCAGTTGAGAAGACAAGAAAGGCCATCCCCAAGTCTGTCCCCAAATGGAAGTACATGATATAAATGACATATTACTCATTATTCAAGTTTGTTTTCTTTTACAAAAAACAGCAATTACCATCTGAAATGAGTAAGAGAAAAAGGGCAAATCAAATGAGGGACAGCACCATTATCATAATTTTTTACTCAGTTAGTGTGCTTCATCTCATCAGAATATTCCAAACTTTTAAGAAAATAGATTTTTTACTTTGGTTAGAAAAAATACTTATGGGGAGCATTAGGTCAGTGAATGAATTGCAGACAGACGGTTTGAAAATGATAAAAGCTGGAAGTGATCTACTCTGCTTTTACAGAGTAGGAGTCCTTCCTTGAGTTTGACTTTTATGGTGTATACAGCTAGAAGGGAGCTAACCCAAAAATTTTAAACTATCTGAAAGTCATCAACTTTTTTAAGCAGAAAATGAGGAATTTGAGCATTATGACACCTAGGATACTCCAGATTGCTAAAGACATCTCAAAACTCTGCAAATTATATCGAGTTCAGTACTGGGACTACAGAAAGCAGGATAGCACAAGAGATACCATTACCTTCTTTTGTCTCACTCAATGCAGCTACAGCCTTCTGGATCTGTATTTGTTTCAGTTCTATAAAAGCTCTATTAAACCGTGATGAGCTTATGGTAACATCTAGATTCTTAGTTTTATAAATCAGGTGTCCTTCTGAAAATGGAAGTCAGGATTGCCCAGGAAATAACACAGTTGCCTTTGGCATCATGACTTCTGACTTGATTCTCTTTTCTGGTCAGCCAGAGCTTTTTACAACTGACAGATAGAAGAAATAAAAAAAAGGTGACACATAGTCCTAGATCAGGTACTTGTGATTTCCCTTGGATGCCCTAAAAAAAATCAAAAAAGTAAACTACCAAAATATTTTAGTTTAGAAGGCTGTACTGCAACACAGAAAACTTTGTGATAAAGCTAACTCGTCCATGATGAAGGTTCAACAGCATACAGTGAAAGTAGAAATTTCTAGCTTTTTCAAGTTGCAAAAAATCTAGCTGCAGTGAGTAACTTGCCAAGTTAAAGACGTGCAATCACCTTTCAACAAATAAAACAGCCCTAAACAAAGGGTCCATCTGCCTACCTGCTTCATTTATCCAGCCTCTGAGATGACACAATTTGCTCAAGTTGCTCATGAGGAACAATATAATCAATTCATTAGAGAGAAGCTATGTACACTGAATCTGGTATGAACTACATCACACTTCTGCCCTTCCAGAAGGTGCTGATGGCAGGATTTATCATTATACTACACATAAAACAATTAATATACCAAATTCAAAATGAAATGCAAACTTCTTTATTAGCTTTTTATTAAGAATGCAATTCAATACTGTTCAGAGGACCTGGATGAACAGTAAATTAGCTGCAGTTTCCAAGCCCTCGAAGCAGGATATATGTGATATTTCTGCTGGCTCTTTACGTTGAGGTAGATCAACCTGAGTAATGAAATGAACTTTCAGAGACAAAATTGTGAACACCTGACAGCTACAGAAAATGTCCTAAGTCGTTTTATTTTTGACCAGCTTCCCATGGATTTTGTCTCCAGGAGGGCTGGAATAAATCAGTTCCTGCAGAAGTATGGGTATCTCTCATTTCAAATATTAATTAACTTAAAAAGATAAAAATTAAACTAAGCATATTTAAAAGATATAAGATTTAAGCATATTTAAAAAGATATTGTGACCCAATTTCTTCTTAACAGCTGAGAAGGAAATAGCATCAGAAAGCTTAGGTGGCATTTAATGGGAAAAAAAGCAAACAATGGAATTGTCAAAATTTTACAAGAAAGCCTTTTTCTCCAGGGATTCCCACCTGCGTTATGCAGACCCAAGAGGTTCAGATGAACTGCAGATAAACATCAGCCTTTTGCGTACTTTTCTGAATTCAAACACTGGATCTTTTGTTTTACCTTGGCATTATTCTTCACCTTTGCCCCTGAAAAGCTATAGTAAATCTCAAAAATTGCATTCAAAAGCAATTAACTCCATCATGTGTAGTGAAGGTCAAGTATTACACTCTTATTTGTATCATTACATAAGTGTTTGCTTTGTTAATTCGATACATTTTATTAACGTGCTTTGCCTCTTTATCAACACTTTCAATTATTAAGGGGTTTGTTTACTATTACAGGAATCTTTGTTTCATCTTACAAAATTGCGTTACCCGGAACACTGAGATGAGCTTTTAATGAAACTAAGACACAAACTTCTGGGTATACTCATAAAAATGGGGTTCAAGTCTTTGGAAAATTTATTAATTATCTTAATGTTTTTAAATCCACTCCTGATACTAGGAGTTTCAAACAAAGCTAGTAGATGCCAACACCAAAACAAGCAAAAAGGGAAGATTCCTCATAATAGGAGTATGTGAAACTTAAATCACAAAAATTCTTGTCACAAAATATCGCCGTATTGAAAGTTTACAGGGGAAACTAGGCAAGTTTGTTGAGGACAAACTAGTTAGGACTACTAAATACACAGCAACTATGTCAGGAAGTCTCTGATCTGCAAATGGGTGAAAGCTTACAGGAAGGTTAGAGGCTTATGCATGCCCTTTTTTATACATTTTCCAAAGCACCTTGCTTTTGGCTCCGTCGGAGTCAGGACTGGTCTGACCCAGCACGACTTTTATTCTGTTCTTGTATCCTTATCTTGTTTTAACACAGCTTTTAGTGCTTTTTATCTTTGAGAAACTAACTTGAAAAATAACAATAATTGCTTCCAGTGGATTCAGATTCTGGATCTTTTATGACATCATTCACTTTTGAAAGGGAATAATACTATAGACACACTGCAATTATTTCATATAATATTATCAAAGTTGACAACAGGATTTCAGTAACAGCCTGATCCAAAACCCACTGAGGTTACTGGAAAGACTCCCATTCATTTCAATGGGCTTGGAATCAGACCTTAAGATTCTCTGAATGGGAGTGTAATAAAACAGGAAAAAAAAGGAGCTGGAAAGGAAAATTCTTCTCATGTTTTTCTCCTTGGCAGTTTAATTTTCTTTGCATTGTCATTTCTCTTTTGCTTGCCATCAATACAAAAATAACACAGTCTAGAAGAAACACCCATATTGTTTACAAATGAGGTTTTTAGCAATGCCTTTGAACTGGAAAAATATCATACTGAAAATACATTTTCAATGTAGAATAAGCCATCCATTCTGAGGAAAACTCAGGAAGAACTCTTTTTCCAGAAGAGGAGGACAGTGCAAGCGTCTGTTTCCACCCAAAACAGACCAATACTATAACCACTCATCACTCTTCATCACTTGATAATTGGTGGGTTGGATAATACTGAGACTAATCATAAACTAACCCTAGTTTTATTTCTGCAGACCATTTATCTGGAACCACTTATTCTTGGATTTGTGGAGGGTTTAGATAAAATAACTACTAGATCAAGTAACTTTTGGTTTTGGTCTTGCAAACCCATAACTGAGCTTACCATGTTTTGCATCCCTAATTTATTCAGTATTTATTCAGTCCATCTGAGGGCAGAGTCATATGTCTTTGCAAGAGGTATGACTTTGTAGAGTTGGCATGCTGTGGAGGCAGACATCATTCTTAGCAGGGCCACCATGCTTTTGAATCTAAAGAGAGCTGTCTCAAAACAGCTATTCAGCAGTAATGTTGCAAGAAAAGACTAATAAGGGAAGCCAGTTGCATGGACACAGATGCCATAATCTTCTCCAGAGCACAGATTATGGCTTTCCCAAATATCTCTGAAGTCCTATGATGCCCTCCACAGTAAGACTATCCATCATGAATTCTGAAGATGAGCCTAACCCAACTTATCTTACCTCTGGAAGCCAGTGGGTTTTTTCCACATATTAAGTCAAAGCAAGAATTTTTGATAAAAAAATGATAATGAATGATAAAAAATGTGTGGCAGATTTTGACCCTGACTCCCCCATCCCCCTTAATCATCTGGGGTTGTATTTCCAGACTATCTCTCCAGGACATGGCTGATACAGCAAGTTGCTATGTAATCTCAGGCCTACAGATAGATCATTCACATTGCTTCTGTTGTCCAGTGTTCTAGTGTAGGCTTTGCATATGAGTTGCCCAGGACTGAATCAATCATGGACACAACCCCATGGCTCTTCCTCAGTACTTTAGACTCTTTTCAACACTTGAACACTTCAAACACTTGTTCAAATCCACAGATCCACCTAAGATCCTCCCAGTGGTTGCTAGGACCCTTTTGACCCAAGATTTGGTGAGACTAAAATTCCTGAACATCTTCAGCTTCCCAAGCTTCTCAGAATATTATTTCACAATTAGCTTCTTTGCAGCCAACACTTCTAATTATTTGTCACCTCTGAAACAAGAAGTTGTTTCATAGAAAGTGCCTCTAACAGTAGCCTTTTTGAGCACAAACTACAGTTCTAATTTGGTAATGTTACATTTAAATAAAATAATACATTCTTGGAGGTAAGCAAAGTTTTTCCATAAATTTAGCTTGCACATTCTGGAATGAATTCCTAAGCATAAGTATTACAGATGTATTCAAACTGATAGATTATTTTCCTGTGGTCCAAAACCAGCTCAGCTACAGGGAAAGA